TGCCTCCTCCACATGGCCTCCCCTCTGGATGCCACCACCACATAAAGAGACAAAATCCTCACAGATGTGCTGCAGGACACCGGGGCCACTTTCCTTGTCCAGGTGGAAAATGAGGTCAGAACGATGCTCTCTGGGCAGCCAGTCTACAGCCTCTTCCTTGCTCCCTCTGGGCTCTCCTGTTCCATTTGCTTCTCTGTGCGGCAGTGAATGGGATGTTTTCCATTTCCTCTCACAGGTGAAGTTACTTCTGCTCAACAGAGATGCCTGCACCGGGATCCCATTAAACCTCTGCTGGTTCCAGGCGCTCTGAGGGCTTTGATGAGTCAGGCCCTGGTCTGTATCCCTTGGGCTGCCCGTGGACCCAGACAGCCCGGCAGTGGGAGAGTACCTTTAACCCTGAGGACCTCAATCAACTTTCCTGAATTCATTTCACCTAGAACGTTACTTCCTGAAGAAAGGAAAGACCAAAGGAAGCAAACCTGGACCTAGTGCCAGCGTGCTGACGCCCCGTCATTTTTCAGTTGCAGTGTTATCTAAAAGCAGAGAACTTCAAACAAGTAGGGCCTGGGGTAGTTCTGGGTTAAGTATACTGATCATGAGTTCTAACATGTGTGGCATACACTAGAGATGAGGCCGAAATAAAACTTAAACTACACATTTTCTCCTCATTTAAAAAAATTTAAACCCCTTCTGCAATAAAGGAAAAAGAAATAGGTTTAGTGAAACTGCTCATTTCGTGTTGTTGGCTTTTGGGGGGTGGGACGTGCTTCATGCTGTTTTCCCCTCCGGGAGGAGAAAACACAAAAGTGTTTCTGCAGTGGGGTAAAGGACCGGGACTGGCTGGACAACACACGGCGTCCTGCCAGTAGCATTAGCAGGCTGTATCCAGCACAGTTGTCAGTAATCCCCGTCTTAACAGCAGTCTTCATTAGGATTCTTTATTCCTGCCTCGTCCAGAGTCCTTATCTCTGCTCAGCCCTCTGCCGGGGCTCGTTCCCTCTACTACTTTCGCGCCAGCGCTACGGGCCAACTTGGCTGTTACATTTCTCTTTCCTACTTGCTCTTCCCAGACGCCACCCCTCCCTCCATTCTGATAACAAACAGAGCACCTAACCTTATTTTACCATTTTAACCTCTTTCTCCTGGAGAAACGTCCTCTATAACCCATCTAAAATGTCTTCCGAAAGATTTGCTTTCACAAAGATGCTATAGAAACTCATTTCTCTCTGCACCCTTGTGGGGTAGAGATTCCTCGAGAAAACGCCACTTTATAAAACTCGTTAGAACCTTCCTTTGAGTGTGCTTTCAGTAGGACAAAGCATGGGGGTGTCCACTGGATCTAGAGGAGAACCCCAAAACCCGAACCCATAGTCGTCCCATCAATTCTGACTCATAGCAGCCCTATAGAGCAGAATATAGGGCAGCCCCTGTGCGTTTCTGAGGCTGTACATCTTTCTGGGAGCAGAAAGCCTCATCCTTCTATGGTGCAGTTGGTGGGTTCAAACTACTGACCTTGTATTTAGTAGCCCAATGCACAACCCACTGTGCTACCGGGGCTCTTTCATGCATGTATGAAAAGGTCTGACTGAAAAGCTCAAACCCTTCCCCTAGCACATTTTATCCTCTGCGTGATAAACATCGAAGTGAAAGGTAGACACTCTATGGGGAGACAGGGAAGGGGAGGTTCAAGTGAGCCAGCGTGAGGGGTTTGTGAACTCCTCTTTCCGGTCCTGGGAACGGGCACAGGAAAGCCAGTGCAGGGATAAGGAACTGTATAGCCCCCCACAGCCCTCACTTCTCCTGTGACAGATGACTGGGACAGGAGGAGGGGCGGGC